CAAGTCGGCCCAGGAGGGCGCCAAGACGGCCCAAGAGGCCCCCAAGACAGCCCAAGAGGGCCCCAAGACGGCCCCAAGAGGTGCCCAAGAGGGGGAGCCCGAACCGACAATCCGAGCCTTCCGCCCCAAGGCGGCCCCAGAAGGCCCCAAGAGGCCCCAAGAGGCCCCCAAGACGCCCACAAGAGGCCCCAAGAGGCCCCCAAGAGGCTCCAAAACGGCCCCCAAGAGGCTTCGAAACTGCCTCCAAGAGTCCCGCGAAAAGCCCCCCAAGAGATCCCAACGATCACCGCACAAGTCTCATATCAACAACCCAGGCACGGTGGCGGGGTTGCGTTTGCGCACAAAAAAATGATTCGCGCTCTCGAGGCCAAGATTGCTCCAAAACGGCCCAGGATGGCTCCAAAACGGCCCAAGATGGCTCCAACACGGCCCAAGAACGTTCGAAGACGGCCCAAAATGGCCTCAAGATGGCCGACAAGGCTTTCACTATCGCCCACGAAGTCTCCAAGAAGACCCCCAGGACATCTGAAAGAGGCGCACATTACGCATTTCATTACATTTCCATTGCGTTGTTGAACATGTTTGCAATTGTTGCCTTTCCCGGCTTCCGTCGGCTCACGTAGCCCAAAGAGCCTCCAAGATCGCCCCACGGCGCCCCAAGAGGGCCTCAAGACGGCCCCAGAGAATCCCAACACGGCCCAGGACGCCTCCCAATTCGGCCTAAGACGACCCCAAGACGGCAAAACCTGTCTCCAAATTGGTCCCAAGCTGGTGCAAGACGGCCCTAACCCAAAACCCATAACCCAGAGCCTTGTTTCTGTGTCCCCTTCCTCCTTCTCCTCCTCCTCCTCCTCCACCTCGGCCGCCAGGTGGGTTCAAAACTGCTTTCCAAAGGTCCCCGAGAGGCGTGCCGCGAGATCTATACACATACAACAAGTTTCTAACCAATAGCACATATCCCAGAGTTTCGTCTCTGTGTCCCCGTCCTCCCCCTCTTCTCCTCCTCCTCCACCTCCTCCTCGCCCACTCCTCCTCTTCCTCCCCCGCCTCCTCCTCTTCCTCCCCGATTCTTCTCCCCCCATCCTCCGCCTCACCCCCCATCCCTCTCTCCCCCTCCCCCCTGTCCTCCCCCGCACGCGCGCCCCCGATTGGGCATCATTTGCAGGTCTTGCATATCAGGGTGCCCTTTTTTGCATCGCGTGCGACGTTGGCAGGGTTCCCGGAGAACGCCGACGTCGGTAGTCTTCTCTTGCACGCGCCGCCGCACTGATACGCCTGGCAACTGCGGGCTGTGAACCCGAGGTTCCGGCAAGACCGCCAAGATGAGGGGTCGGCGGATGTGGCGTAAGCCTATAGAATCTGGACTGCTCGAAGAACCCCGACTCGGACTCAGGTCTCAAGATCCTGGTGCTTTCTTCTAGCCCTCCTGGAAGGTCAGGGCAATGGGGGGTGGGAAAGAGAAAAGTGTCCCTCCAGGGCCGTACAGGGCCCCTTCTGGGCCCTTCTAGGGGCCCTGGAGGGAGGGCCCCTTTCTGTAGCCCTCGCTTTGGGGAACGGGAAATGGCATAAACATAAAAGCTCGAAAGTCCGCGCGGATTTCTTGGATCTGCGCTGGACCCCCCTCCCTGGCACGCGGAGCGCGCCAGGGGCGGCGCAAGAGGCGCCACCAGGGGGCCCCAGCGTCGATCAGACAAATCCACGCGGACCTCCGTATTTTTTGCCCCCCTAATTATCGCTGCCCCCCCCCAATTGTTGTCGCCCCCCCATTGATCGAGCCCCAATCCTCAGGCGCGCCACCTTGGCCGGGAACGCAGGCTCCTCTTGTCGGCGATTCCGAAGGGTGTGGTTTGCAACGGGTGCGGTCCCCAGCTCGCGCCAGGGTGGGGGGGGCGGGGCAGGCCAGGACCTCGGCAGAGTTCTCCACCGCTTCCCGAGGAGGGAGCCTCATCCCCTTACGGTTCCTGAGGGAAATGGGTCCTGGACCCTGGGGGGGCTTCAGTTCTTCACCCTGAATCGATCTCTGACGCTCCCGGGGCCCGTGGGAGGTAGTGGGGAGGCCAACAACTGCGAACAAACACCACAAGACCCATTTCCCTGGGGGGACAAAATATGCCGAAACCGTTGCTCCCCGGACCTCTCACGTGGGGCGCGCCCTGACCAGCACTTCGAGGCGAATCCAGCCCTGGCGACGAGGGATCTCCAGGAAGAGCACCCGCAGGAACGAACGACGACATAAACAAACGACTCGGAGGTCCGAATTGTCATGCTTATGTCGCTGTTCGTTCCGTGGGCTCGTGTCGTCCTTTTCCCTCCCCTCGCGTTTGCTTCGTGGCAGCGTTCCCGCGCCGCCGCCCGCCCCGCCGGCGCCCCGCCGTCGCCGCCGCCTCCGCTTGGGCCCGCCGGCGGCGGCCCCGCCCGCAGCAGCTGCAGCGCCGCCAGCGCCGCGGCCGCGCCCAGCACGCACGCGGCCAGCCTGCCCAGCGGCAGACCTGCGCCCGGCTGCGCCGAGGCGCCTCGCGGGGCCTGCGGCGCGGCGGGTCGCGGCGGCGGCGGGGCCGCCTGTGGCGCTGCGCCATGGGGCGGTGACCGCCCCAAGCATCAAGAGATCTGGACAGACTCGAGGCGGGTGCTCTTCGCAATTTTCGGCCACTCGGGGCCCTCCCTGGGTCTCAGGGCCGTCCGAACACGGCTCGGGATGGAACACCGGTCCCTGGGCAAGGGCGGAGAAATCGGGGGCACGCGTTCCAAACAACATCCGGGGCGCTGAGTGTCTGGGAACGGGGGGGGCGCAGACGCGTGCAATCCTCGTGCACGCCGAGGCCCCGAAGGTGCACGGCAAGGCGCACCCTCCTGCACGCCGACCCCCAGAAAGGTTTTCGCCCATTTCTCTGGGACCGGTTCTCTATCCCGGGTGATTGTTTGATGGTCCTGGGGCCCAGTAAACATACCCCAGAGGCTGAAAATAGCGAAAAAGCATTCGTTGTGTGTTTTCGGTGACACCTCATGGGAGCCTCCCATACCATCTTTGTCGGCTCTTGCCAATCGACGTTCGTCGACGCGAAATCGACGTTAAGCGACGCGGCGCTATCCTACAATGAATTGGCGCTATCCCATCGACTCCCAGACGCTACTAGGAGCTGGACACTCGAGACGGACTTAAGCGGGTATACCCGGCTTCCACGATTTGCTACCGAATGTGTTTTTGTCCTGACCATCTCCCACAGCTTGCCACCTCGTGGGCACAGCATTTTGCTGTCGCCAATCCTTAACTTGGACTCCTGTCCTGCTTCACAACTTGCTGTATACCTCGTACCGAACACCGGCAACGCCCGTGGGTGTACCGAAGCCGCGGCCCAGCTGATGCCACGGCCCCGCTGCCGCTGCTGGCCGCCCTTGCCCACTCGACTTGCAAGTCTTCGACATCTGAGTGGCTCTCCTCCTCCTCCTCCCGTCCTCCGCGCGGCCGCCCTTTGCTCCTTGCTCCCCTCTGGCACGCCAGACACTTCGCCCTTCGGTTGCCCCGAAATGCCACACGCTGGAGCGGACCCCAGAGACCCGATGTCGTGATTTTTGTCAATGCGGACTCCCTGGAAGTCCCGACCCGCTCCCCAGGATCGGTTTCTCGCCCCGAGTCGTCTTTACAAGCCCCGAGGCCCGGCAAGGGCACCCATGACGCCGAAAACTACGAACACACACTTTTTCGATTTGATTCGCAGGTCGACAGCGCACCTCTTCCAGTCGAAGCTAAGCGGGCCGCGCGACGCTTGAATGAACCAGAGATGGGGGAGGAAAAGGGGAAAACTACGAAACACACCCCGTCATGATTTCTTCATCACACGAGGGGGCCTGGGCCGCCGCCGACGGACAAACCATACCCTCTCATTGAGCAGGGACCGACCGTCCCGGCATTCCTATAGCCCTATCACGAAGTGTTCTGAGAACCCAAACATGTTCTAAGAACAAAATCAATGTTCTTAGAACATGAGCCCGATGTCTTGAAACACGACAATCTCGTGCAGACCACAAAAGGTTCTTAGAACATTGTTTGGTGGGACCATAAGCGAGCCGGGACGCTTCGCCACTGCTTGATTTCATCACCCGAGGGGGTCGGCCCCCCGTTTGGCAGCGCCCGGCCGCCGACGCCCGGGCACGCGCCGGCATCCAGGAGGCACGCGCGCCGCCGCGGGGCGCGCCGTGGCCCGGCGTCTCGGGAGCCACCCTGCGCGGTCCAGCCGCTGAGGAGGAGGCGGCGGCGAAGGAGGAGGAGGCGGAGGAGGCGGCGCAGGAGGAGACCACACGGTCTTGAAACCCTGGAAGCCCCAATCGTCCGAGGCACCCTAGGAGAATGACCGGAGTCCCAAAACGGCGGCGCAATGCCCCCGAATCACCCTTGACTCCCCACGCACTTTGGGCCCCCGAATCTGAGCACCACTGGCCAAGAAGAGCATGCGCTGCCGGCGCGCGAGGTGACCGCGCGGTTGTTGCCCCGCTCCGCGCGCGCCCCCTGGTGGCCATCCATCGGCGGCCCTCAGGGGCCGTCGGCGGCCATCAGCGGCCCTCGGGCGGCCCTCGGTGGCCATCGTTGGCCATCAGCGACCCTCGGGCGGCCCTCGGGCGGCCCTCGGGCGGCCCTCTGGCGGCCCTCGCGGGCCATCGGCGGCCGAGGGCGCACTCCGGGCGGTCGGCCGGCACAGGGAGGAGGAGGAGGAGGAGGAGGAGGAGGAGGAGGAGGAGGAGGAGGAGGAGGAGGAGGAGGAGGAGGGAGGAGGATGAGGAGGAGGGGGAGGGGGAGGGAGGAGGGAGGAGGGAGGAGGGAGGCGGGAGGAGGAGGGAAGCGGGAGGCGGGAGGCGGAGGCGGAGGAGGATGTGGGAGGAGGAGGAGGAAGGAGGGAGGAGGAGGAGGAGGAGGAGGAGGAGGAGGAGAGAGGAGGAGGACGAGAGGAGGAGCGCGGCGAGGCGCGGCGCGCGCGCGCGCGGCGAGCGAGGCGAGCGCGCCCGGGCCACCTGGACAGCGGCGGCGGCCGCGCCCCCTGCCCGCGACGGCACCCCGCAGGAGGCGGGCTCCCCGCCTGGCGGGCGCGGGAGGGACGACGCCGACGACGACGACGACGACGCCGGCGCCGACGCCGACGCCGACGACGACGACGACGACGACGACGACGGCGACGACGACGACGACTACGACGACGACGACGGGCGAGGGGCTGAGGGGCACTGCTAGGGGGGGGACTATAGCCCAGGGGGGGGGGGGGGGGGGGGGAAACACCGCCCTGGAAGCGGCGATGCATCGCCGACAGATCGACGGTCTGCCCCCAGGCAGCGGGCCCGCGCGGTCCTCGGGCGTGGGGGGACTCTCGGGCCCCTATATCGGCGATCCATGGGCCGATTGGGGGTCGATGCGTTGCCCCCATGAGCCTTTCCCTCCGTCTCGTTGCCCATGGGGGGAGGAGGGAGACGATGGACGGGGAGGACGAGGGGGGGAGGACAGGGCGGAAAACGAGGACCCAGCGTTGCATGTCGAGGAGGCGAACGTGGACGAGGAGGAAGTGGATGATGACAGCGGAACAGGCAGGAGGCTGAACGGGGGCGCGCATCTGCACGCACCATCCAAGTCCGCACCGTCCAGGCCTCTGCGACGGCCCTTCCTCCCACGGCCTCTGCCGCGTGTTTTCATTTTCTGCCCCACAAGGTGGTTGCACGAATGTGCTACGACTGATGTTGACGGAAGAATTGGACGGGTGTATCGACATTTCGCCACGTTGCCGCCCGTGGGTGTTTCGTGGGCGCTTCGTATGCTGGACAAGTGCACCGAAGTTTCGCAACATTGCCGCTCGTTGTCAATTGTTGGCGCCTCCTGGGCGCATGCCGTCCTATGCGCTGAACTCACTCCACCCAGGTACCGTGAAGCTTGCACCACGTTGCTAGCACCACATGGCTTAAACGCAGAGCTTACATCACGTAGCTTACATCACATAGCTTGCAATACATAGTTTGAACACCATACCTTTCACCATGCAGGTTGCACCACACAAGTTGCACCACGCACATTGCACCACAATGATTGTACCACCCCACTTGCACCACATACGCAGGTACCACCTCGAATGCATCACATGGATTGCACCGACATGTAGCTTGCATCACGTAGCTCTTACTCTAGCGATGAGCTTCCGCATAGCCTTCACTACGTAGCTTCCATCACAGAGCTTGCACCACGCAGCTTGTATCACATAGCTTAAACCACCGACCTTACCCCACATAGCTTGCATCACACAGGTTGCACCCGCCACACTTGTTGCACCATATGTGTTGCACCACATCGATTGCATCACATCGATTGCACCACGTATGGTTGCACCACCAACAAGAAGGTTTGCACCACATAGCTTCTACCGAATAGCTTCTTCTCGCACGCAACTTCCACAGCATAGCTTTCACCACGTATCGTGTATCACAGAAAGTGCACCGTCTAGCTTACACCACATGGCTTATGCCGCACAACTTACACCACGTAGATTAAACCTCACGCATTCCTTCACGAAATTTGCACCACAAACCTTAGACAATAACACATACTCCACATAGTCCGCCGGGGACGACGAGACTGACGATGACGACGAAGACGATGACGAGTACGACGACGACAACGATAGTGACGACGACGATGACGACAGTGACGACGACAACGACAACGACGATGGCGAGGGCGACAATGACGAGGGCGACGACGGCGACGACGAAAACGACAGCGTCGAGGAGCCGTTCGCCCTGCACTACGAAGCACGATGCAACATCGAATTGGCACGCGCGCGATGGAAGGAATGCAAGAGAGTCCAGATACGAATCCATAAAACCGATCGGCAACCGAAACGAATCGGCCAAATCGAAAGAAGCCGAATCGGCGGAACTCGGCGACCTACTGAGGCTTCCATTGAGAAGCCGAGATCCAGATTGGAATCCGAAGCCGAACCGAATCGGAATCGGAATCGATCGAGGTGGAGTCGAAATGAGCCCTGGAGCCAGAGGAGTCGAGGTGGAGTCGAAAATCGAAAGTCGAGGTGGAGTCGAAAGTCGGAATCGATCGAGGTGGAATCGATCGAGGCGGAGTCGAAAGTCGATCGATCGAAGTCGAGCCGGAGGGGTCGAAACGAGCCCTGGCAGGGCGGGGACGCGCGGGCGGAGCCCGACGCTGGCTCCGCGCACCAGGGGGCAGCGGGGAGGGGGGAAGGCTTCTCGGAGGGAAGCTGCTTCTTGAGAGGCGCCGGCCCTACAGTGGGGCCTCGGCCACACGAAACCTCCGCAAGAAACCCAACCCTGAAATCCGCGATTCGTTGAATGAAAGCACAAATTTGTCGATCGAAAATCATCCAGGTCTTATTGGGGACCCATCGAAGTCCAAGAAACCCAGGGCACCCTGGCAAAATCCAACTGGTTTCTTGGCACGCGCCCCCACTGTACATCCATAGACAAGGCCCGCGCCTTCTGAGAAGCAGCCTCCTTCTGAGAAGCCTTCCCCCGCTCCCCCTAATTACCCCCCTTCTGTGCGTGGCTGGCAGGAAGCCCGACCCATTCCCCGGGACCGGCTTTTCATCCCGAGTCGTCTACGTACACTCCCGGGGCACTGCAAGGGCTCTCGGAGGGCAAAAACGGCCGACCTTCCCAGTCGCTGCTTTTCATGACCTCGAGGACGTCTGCGATCAGCCCCCCCCCCTGAAGACCACGGACAGCGACGACGCCGCCGCCGCCGACGACGCCGACGACGACGACGGTGGCGCGTCAGTAGTCTCGGGTCGGGCGAAAGGGGGGGATAGCAAAGGGGGGGGTTGAGAATCAGCTCGCGTAGCTGAGTTTCCCGGCGCCTCCCGGCGCCAGAAACGGCCATGTATCACAGAATTGGCCCCTCGTTGGGGCCGAAACCAGCTGCATGCAGCAGCTTTCGTAACCCCCCCTTTCCCAATCCCCCCCTTTCGTCCGGCCCGATAGTCACCTCGAGGACACCTCGAGGCCCCCCCCCCTGCGCGTGGCTTGCGGCGGCGGCGCCGGCCGTCCTGGGCGAGGGCCCTCCTCCCCGAGGTCGTCGAGGGCCTCGAGGCGCGCCGGCCCCGCGGCCGCGGGCGCCTGCGCCTCCGCGCGCGGGGTGTGCGCCCCCGGGCGGGCCCCCCGCGCGCCCCTCGCCGAGGGGGGGGGGGGGGGGGGCAGGGATCGCCCGGAGCTCCAGAGGCGCCTCCCCTCGTCTTGTCTTCCATCCGCCCTTTTGCTGCAGAGCGAGATCTCGGAAGGAGAACGGCCCACGGAGTCGCCCAAGCACCGTTGAATGGGGTCGACCCCTGCGGGGAGGGGGGGGGGGGCGGGCGCCGCCGCGGGCGGTGGGCGGCGCCAGGGAAGGCGCGGAAGAGGGCAGGAGCAGGGAGGGGGAGGTGGGGGTGGCGATGGCGGGGCGACGTCGCCACTCGGCAGAGAGAGAGAGAGAGCAGAAGCAATACGCCCCTTGCCCCCATGTCCCAAAGAAGACTAGACACGACGCTCTTACATATTGCTTCCTTTGCCCTGATTTCAGCCTCCAAAGAAAATCGCGAAAGCCGCCCGCGGCGCCATCGAGAAACGACCCGCAGCTTGAACTGGTCCCACACATGCAACAAGTGGACGGACTGGGAGGGGGAGGAAAAGATGGGAGAGAGGGATGGAATGGGCAAAGGACGGCGCAGGGGCGGGGGGGTGGTACGCCGAGGGCTCCACCAGGCAGAGGACGAGACCATCCTCTCGCGGCCATGCGCGACGAAAGCGCCGGTGAGCGCTACCCCCCCATGATTCGCTCCACCCCCGCCGCCTGCTCTCCCGCGTCTGCGGCCCGGCACTGCAGCGCTGTCACGGAGGAGGGGAATGCACCCTCGAAGCAGGGCCGCAGGCAAGGGAAGGGCTGAAGGGGGAGGCGGCGGAATGCGTGAGGGAGGATGGGCGCGTGGACGGGGAAAGGGAAGGGAGCTCGACCCACATAGTCGTGCACATCCAAGGAGGAGGGAACTCGGCCTGCTCACTCGCCCGTGCTCCTGCTGCGCGCATCCGCATTCGCGTGCCTATGCTCGAGGAAGAAGCAGCTGTGTAAACAGAACCTTCCGAATCTCCGCGCGGGCTTCTTGGATCGGCGCTGGGACCACCTCCTTGGCGCGAAGAGCGCGCCAGGGGCGGCGCTGGAGACACCGCCGTGGCGGCTTGGCGCCGATCAAGGCAATGTGCGCGGAGCTCCGGAAGGTTGCATGCAGCTTTTCGCAAACCGAATATGATCAGGCGAGCATTCTGGGAACCTCACTCTAATATGCATCGCCTCGGCTTAGTAGCCTTTAGTGGCCTTTAGCGGCCTGTGGGGTACTATTAGCAGACTTGAGTAGTCTTATCGACGCCTGTCCTGACTTTTAGCGGCCTGTAGCGGCCACTGGTGGCCTTTAAACTGATTTTCATAGCCTGGGTAAAAGTGCGGACATTATGTCATGCGCGTTAGAGAGAGCTTCCGAAAAGACGAACTAGAACTTGAATACCTATACGCTCATCGCTCAACTTCCTGCCGGCGCCACGCCCTGGCCTTCACGGCCACGGCTACCACCAACGGCAGCCCAAGGGCTCCAAAGCACACCTCGGGGGGGATCCGTGCCTGCCAGCTGCAGGCGGCATGCTGAAACATAGCGCCACATTGTCGGACTCATTCCTCCTGCTCCTACTACTCTTCCTCCTCCCGTGCCGATCTTCCTCTTACTCTAACGCGCTCCACGATCGCACGCCGAATGAACTCCAACCGCAGCAATCCTCTGAGTGCGTTCAGTGAATCCCAGGTGCGTTCAGCGAGTGCCGATGCAAATAGAATGTCGATAGAAACAACGAAGGTCACCAATCACTCAGAGCCCACACGACCCTCTTTCGAATCCCACCCTCTTCCTGCTCCGCTTCCCGGCACTTTCTCTTCACCGTGATCCTCCTCCTCCTCCTCATCCTTGTCCACCCTTGACACGTCCCCTCCTCCTCCTCCTCCCCCTCCTCCTCCTCCTCCTCCTCCTCCTCCTTCTGCTCTCCCTTCTTCTCTCCTCCCTCTGCTCCCTTTCTGACCTGGTCCTTGAATTACCCCTCCTCTCCCACCTCCTCCTCCTCCTCCTCCTCCTCCTCCTCCTCCTCCTCCTCCTCCTCCTCCTTCTCCTTCTCCTCCTCCTCACAAACAAATCAGAACCACCGAAAGTCGCCGAATCCCGTCCGAAGACCGCAGAAACATCCTCGCAATCGCTGCCGCCGCCAGCTCGCCATTGCTGTCGTCACAAGCGTCGCCGTCGCCGCCGTCGCCGCCGTCGCCGCCGTCGGCGCCGCCCGTCATCTGAGCAGCCGCGTGCGAACCCTCACCCCTGCAGGTCAGACTTCCGCAACGCCGGCTGGGGCTCAGAATCCGATGGGCCGAATGCCTGCAGCCAGGGGGACCTGCACGGTTTCCCCCGGGGCCGTAGGCGACCCGAGGAGGAGGAGGAGGAGGAGGAGGAGGGGGAGGAGGAGGTGGTGGAGGAGGGGGAGGGGGAGGAGGAGATGGAGAAGGAGAAGGAGGAGGAGGAGGAGGAGGAGGAGGAGGAGGAGGAGGAGGAGGAGGAGAGGAGGAGGAGGAGGAGGAGGAGGAGGAGGAGGAGGAGGAGGAGGGGTCGCCTAAGCCCTTCGGAGAAACCCTCCAGGGGGGCCCCGGCATGGGGCGTCCGACACCCCGGCGGCGACTGGACCCGCAGGAGCAGGGCTCGCACGTGGTCGTACAGCGTCGCCGCCGTCGCCGCCCCCGCGGCAGGACCCGGGGAGAACGACACCAGCACCGCCACCAGCGCGAGGCGCCGCCAGTGGCGCCCCCCCCCCAACCAGGAGAGCCCAGAATCGAATCGACAAGTCGGATCGGCGATCGCCCTGAGTCGGATCGGGCCACGTCGGGAGAAGTCGAATCGGCAGACCTCGGCAGGCCAGTAGGCCTCCATGGAGGCACTGGAGCCGAACTCGGAATCCGGAGCCGAATCGGGTCGGAATCGGAGGCCATCGACATCGGATCGAATCGAATCGGAGGAATCGAAAATGTGCCCTCCCTCCCCCTCTCGCTCGAGACGTCCCCGATCCGATCCCCAGCTCGAGGAGGCACCGCAGATCCCCTCGCCCGAGGTGGCCCTCCCCCCGGGAGGTGGCGAAGGGTGGTGGCGTCTCGCCCTCCTCCGTCTTCCCCCGCCACCGCTCGTCGCCCTGCTTCGTCGCCCGGGGGGACAACATGTGGCATACACGTGCACTTGATCTTATGGCATCAAACGTGAGCTTCCGCAGGTCCGCGTGGATCTCTGGGATCGGCGCTGGACCCCCCTCTCTGTCGCGGGGAGCGCGCCAGGGGCGTCGCCAGAGGCGCCGCCAAGGGGCTCCAGCGCCGATCCGCAAAATCCGCGCGGACCTCCGAACCTTTTCCGTTTATGCCATTACTTGTTCCCCGAGTCGTGCCGCCGATGCCGTCGCCACCGCCGTCGCCGCCACCAGATGGGATCCGAGTAGGTGCCCGCGGGCGCCTGGGGAGGGCACTTGTGCAGTGCCTGTGGGCGGCCCAGGAAAAGAGACCTTGGTGGTGCCTGCGGCCAGCCCTGGAAGATACTTGCGAGGTGCTTGCGTGTGGCCCAGGAAGATGGGGTCGAAGGGTAGCGCCGCATCGTCGATAAATCGGCGATGCATCGGCGACGGCGTCGTGGATAAGAATCGGGCTCCACATCGAACCGTGACGCCGATGCGTCGGCGATGCGGCGCGATCCTCCGATCCCATCCCTTTTGGCAACTCATGGAGGCCTCCCATACCATCTTGTCCGCTCTTGCGAATCGACGCTAGTCGGCGCTAAATCGACGCCAATCGACGCTATGTCGACGCTAACCGACGCCACATCGGCGCTACCTCATCGACCCCCAGACGCTGATCGACGCTGAAGTCGGAATCAAAAAGCCGAACCCATATGGCCGGACCCCATCTGGGAGGCCTAACGTCACCGCCGCCACCGCTCGTCGCCACCGCCAGCGCCGTCTCGCCGCCTCGGCGCTCGCCGCGGGGAACAGCCACGCGAGCGCGAGCATGGCGGCCTCCCAGAGCGCGAAGCCGACCCGCTGGCGCCGTCCCCGGCAGCTCCGAGTCGCAGCTCGGAGCCGCCGGGGGGCGCCCGTCGGCGGCTGAGGCGAGGGCAGGGCGAATACGGAGAAAAAACAAAAAATACCCAACAAACAGCGATGCGCAAAACCAGCACCCATCGGTCGGAAAAAAACATGTAGAAACATGAAGCAGAAAAGGCGTTGGAAGTAGAGAGGGTGTCCGCCCGCCCCCCAGAGAGGACGACAAAGATGAAGCCGCTCGATCCCGGAAGCAAGCGGGCGCTGCAAGTAGGTCGGGCTCTGGGGCTCCAGGAACACCAATGTTCAACGGCCGAGGGGGGCAGCAGCTACGAAGCAGCAGCGCTGTCGGTCCCGGTGAAGGAAGCCCGGCAATCACCCGTGGCGGAGACCTCTCCTACTATTGATTTTTTTCCCTAACAGAAATAATTCGCTGAGCAATTAATGCTGTAGCTGTACTGTAGGGTGCTACAGTAAATAATTCGCTGAGCAATTAATGCTGTAGCTGTAGCTGTAGCTGTAGCTGCGACGAAGCTTTCGCGCGGCGTTTTTTCGGTTTTTTTTACGACGCCGGGAGGTCTGGGCCAGGAAGGAAAAAGGAGTTAGAAAGGAATTTGATAAGGGATTTCAAAAGTTAGAAAGGAATTCAGTTTTTTGCGTTAACTTTTTTTTTACGACGCCAGGAGGTCTGGGCCGGGGAAGAAAAAGGAGTTAGAAAGGAATTTGATAAGGAATTTCAAGAGTTAGAAAGGAATTTCGTTGTTGGGGTCGTTTTTTGTTTTTTTAACGACGCCGAGATGTCTGGGCCAGGAAGGAAAAAAAACTGAGTTAGAAAGGACATTGATAAGGAATTTCCAGAGTTAGAAGGGAATTTCGTTTTAAGTGTTGTTTTTTTAAACAAAAAAGAAACGACGCCGGGAGGTCTGGGCCAGGAAGGAAAAAGGAGTTAGACATGAATTTAATAAGGAATTTCAAGAGTTAGAAAGGAATTTCGTTTTTGGTGGTGGTTTTTTGTTTTGTTGTTTACGACGCCGAGAGGTCTGGGCCAGGAAGGAAAAAGGAGTTAGAAAGGAATGTAATAAGGAATTTCAAGAGTTAGAAAGGAATTTCGATTTTTGGATATTTTTAATAAAAAAAAAAAAGACGCCGAGAGGTCTGGGCCAGGAAAGAAAAAGGAGTTAGAAAGGAATTTAATAAGGAACATCAAGAGTTAGAAAGGAATTTCGTTTTTTTGGATTATTTCTGTTTTGTTTTTTTAAACGACACCGGGAGGTCAGGGCCAGGAAGGAAAAAAGGAGTTAGAAAGGAATTTATCAAGGAAATTCAAGAGTTAGAAAGAAATTCATTTTTGGTGGCTGTTTTTTGTTTTGTTTTTTACGACGCCGGGAGGTCAGGGCCAGGAAGGAAAAAAGGAGTTATAAAGGAATTTATCAAGGAATTTCAAGAGTTAGAAAGAAATTTTGTTTTTTGGGTTGTTTTTTTGTTTCATTTTTTACAACGCCGAGAGGTTTGGGCCAGGCAGGAAAAAGGAGTTAGAAAGGAATTTAATAAAGGAATTTCAAGAGTTAGAAAGGAATTTCGTTTTTGGTGGTTTTTTTTGGTTTTTTTACGACGCCGAGAGGTCTGGGCCAGGAAGGAAAAAGGAGTTAGAAAGGAATTTAATAAGGATTTCCAAGAGTTAAAAAGGAATTTCGTTTTTTTTTGACATTGTTTTTTTGTTTTGTTTTTTTACGACGCCGAGAGGTCTGGGCCAGGAAGGAAAAATGAAATAGAAGGGAATTTAATAAGGAATTTCAAGAGTTAGAAAGGAATTTCGTTTTTGGGGGCTGTTTTCTGTTTTTTTACGCGCCGAGAGGTCTGGGCCAGGAAGGAAAAAAGGAGTTAGAAAGGAAAGGAGTACCCAGAATTCCTTTCTATCTCTGGAAAATCCTTGTTAAATTCCTTTCTAACTCCTTTTTCCTTCCTGCCCCAGACCTCTCGGCGTCGTAAATAAAAGACAAAACAAAAAAACAACACCAAAAACGAAATTCCTTTCTAACTCTTGAAATGCGTTATTGAATTCCTTTCTAACTCCTTTTTTTCCTTCCTGGCCCAACCCCCCCGGCGCCGTAACAAAACAAAACCAAAAAAACAACCTCAAAAAACGAATTTCCCTTCTAACTCTTGAAATTCCTTATTAAATTCCTTTCTAACTCCTTTTTTCCTTCCTGGCCCGGACCTCTCGGCGTCGAAGAAAAACAAAACAAAAAACAACCACAAAAAAACAAAATGCTTTTCTAACTCTTGAAATTCCTTATAAAATTCCTTTCTGACTCCTTTTTCCTTCCTGGCCCAGACCTCTCGGCGTCGTATATATTAGATATATATATATATATACTATATATATATTATATATATATATATATATTTTCCTAACTCTTGAAATTCCTTATTAAATTCCTTTCTAACTCCTTTTTTTTCCTTCCTGGCCCAGACCTCTCGGCGTCGAAAAAAACAAAACAAAAAACAACCACAAAAAACAAAATGCTTTTCTAACTCTTGAAATTCCTTATTAAATTCCTTCTGACTCCTTTTTCCTTCCTGGCCCAGACCTCTCGGCGTCGTTAAAAAAAACAAAAAAAAACCCCGAAACACGAAATTCCTAACCTTGAAATTCCTTATTAAATTCCTTTCTAACTCCCTTTTTCCTTCCTGGCCCAGACCTCTCGGCGTCGTAAAAAAAAACAGACCCCCGAAAAAAAAACAAAAAAACAAAATTCCTTTCTAACTCTTGAAATTCCTTATTAAATTCCGTTTCTAACTCCTTTTTCCTTCCTGGCCCAGACCTCTCGGCGTCGTAAAAAACAAAACAAAAAACAACCCCAAAAAAACGAAATTCCTTTCTAACCCTTGAAATTCCTAAAAAAAAAAAAAAAAAAAACGAAATTCCTTTCTAACTCTTGAAATTCCTTATTAAATCCCTTTCTAACTCATTTTTCCTTCCTGGCCCAGACCTCTCGGCGTCTTAAAAAAGCAAAACAAAAAAAAACAACCCCCAAAACGAAATTCCTTGCTTGCTAACTCTTGAATTTCCTTATCAAATTCCTTTCTAACTCGTTTTTTCCTTCCTGGCTCAGACCTCTCGGCGTCGTAAAAAAAACACCAAAACAACCCAAAAAACAAAATTCCTTTCTAACTCTTGAATTTCCTTATCGAATTCCTTTCTAACTCCTTTTTCCCTTCCTGGCCCTGGCTTCCTCGGGCAATTCGGACTCGATTGTCTTTGAGGTTCAGAACTATCTCTGGTATTCAAATTCCTTTCTAACTCAGGAAATTCCTTATCGAATTCCTTTCTAACTTCCCAACTCAATAGAAATGCATAACCAAAATGCTCTTGGCAATATTTCGAGCCTACATTATTAATTCCCGACACAATTATTGATGTAATTGCATACAGTGCGCACTACAGAAATAATTCCGAAACCAATTAAAGCTGTACTGTAACCAAAAAAATCAATGGTACACTGCAGCGGCAGCGCCTGCAGAACTCTCCCGCGACCTGCCCAGACATCGTCCTCGCGATTCTGGCCGCGCTGGCTTTTTTGACGGGGCACTGGGACACACAAATAAATACACACAAGTAACAGGATTCCCTATGTTTTCCTATATTTTCTCGGTTTCTGTCTTCCCCCCCACTTCCCATATTTTCCCATATGTTCTGGGGGATCGAGGATCAATTGTGTCTGTGTGTTTTTTCCTCTCCTGATTTTTCAGCATCGCTGCAAATCCCAGCTATCGTACAGGCGCGCCTTCCCAACGCCAGCGAGAGGCACCGACGAGCGGCCGCGCCGCGTGCGCCCCCTGCGTCGAGGGCGGCGCGCCGGCCTCTCGGCGGCGCCCTCGAGCCGCGGCCCCCCCCCGCGGCTCGGAGCTCGGGGCCCGCAGGGCAGGGGCGGGCCCGCGCCGGCGGGGGCAGGTGGAGGCCTAGAAATGGGCACCAGCACCAACACAAGGGGCTGTCTTCACAGGGGGAGGATGCTCCTGCATCTCGGTGCCGGTGGTAATAGTTCGGTCACCCTGGCAGCCAGCATATCAGCACCATCGCCGAGGTCGGGGTCGTCTTCCCTCGGTGGAGGCACAACGCCGATCTCGGTGTTGGTGTCAACCTCTAGGCCTGCGAGGGCGGGGCCGGGGCGGAGCCGTGCGGTTTTTTGCCCTGGCGGGGGGGAGGAGCGCAGCGCGGCTCCCTGTGTCACGAAGCAGCTCCTGGGAGGTTTGAAGGGGCCCCAGGACATACAAAGAAATACACACAAATGAAACTATTCCCTATATTATCACATATTTTCTGGGTTTCTGTCTTCCCCCCCACTTCCCATATTTTCCAATATTTTCTGGGGAATCGAGGATTAATTGTGTCTGTGTGTTTTTTCCTCTCCAGAAGGTTTTCGTCAGGACGATTCGCCTTCCCCCTTCGACGGTCTCGCCATCGCTCGGACGTCCCCTGGCGGGGGGGAGGAGCGCAGCGCGGCTCCCTGTGTCACGAAGCAGCTCCTGGGAGGTTTGAAGGGGCCCCAGGACATACAAAGAAATACACACAAATGAAACTATTCCCTATATTATCACATATTTTCTGGGTTTCTGTCTTCCCCCCCACTTCCCATATTTTCCAATATTTTCTGGGGAATCGAGGATTAATTGTGTCTGTGTGTTTTTTCCTCTCCAGAAGGTTTTCGTCAGGACGATTCGCCTTCCCCCTTCGACGGTCTCGCCATCGCTCGGACGTCCATTCCACGGCGCACCTGTCGATGTCGCGCGTCTTCTTCGCACGATGGTCCAAACTTATCCTCTATGATCCTGCCTCAGAGAAAGATGCACACTTCCGAGCGACGCCAAGATAAGGACGATGAAGCCCGATTAAGGGGCCAGCACGCCCGATTGGACCAGATTCGGCCCAGCATGAAACCAAGGACTCGCCAGCGCTGATTCCGAGTTCAACCTCCCAGGAAGTCGAGTAGGGGATC